TGTGTAAGCACAGAGCCATTGCAGGAAAGCAAGGCTCAAGAAAGAAGATTAAAGAGTTAGCAAGGAATGGAAGGAAAGTTACAGAGATTAGATTTCATCCTAGTAGACATTTGGAACCATCATGATGGGCAAGGTGAGAAAACAAATTTATGACATGTATTTTCAGGAAGAATTCTTTTCTATAGATGGGAGAGGAAGGGATCAGTGGGTGGCATGGAGGAGAATGACTGTGGCAAGGTGAGGTCTGTGGAGCCATAAGGAAGAGGAGCACTATAAAGAGAAGTGGGCAGGACTTGGTCACTGATTACCTAGGAGGTTGTATTAAAGTGATACCCAGGTTTCAAGTCTGAGCAATGAGGAGAACACACATTATCTTTAACAGAAATAGAAAAGCTGGCTTGTGAGGTCAGGTGATGTGTTCAGTTTCAGCCAAGCGTGTCTGAGGTCATGGTAAACACCCATGTGGAGAGGTCTCAGGCAGCTAGAGAATTTATGGAAATTTTTCTAAGCAGGGAGGAACCTAGGAGGTCATCTCTCCCTCCTGCCCTCTCATTTTACAGATGAGATAAGAACGTGACACAAAAAAAGTGACACATTAAGTGGCATGATCATTATCAAGTAGTATTTAGGAAGGAAACTATTTTATAATGCAAAGGAATTCTAGTTTTATAAAATGAAAAAAGACTGGGAAAGAAGATCAGAAAGATCCCTTGTGAGATGAAACCCGACACTACAGGCTTGAAGCCCTAAAAAGGAAAGAATTTGGAATGTGTGGAGCAGGAAGAGTTAACCCCACGTGGAGGGTAGGAGGAGGAAGGGAGCTGATAAAGGAGGCCAACAAGCAGCCAAGAAGGAGGCAGTGAGGAGTAAGGAGGAATCTGGAGTCAAAAAGAACAAGGCCTGAGAAAATTACTTGCCCAGAGTAAGTAGCAATAGAAAGAAAGAAGACCACAGTAGCCTATGAGAACCAGACCAGAGACTATTAGTTAAGTGCTAAGTCATGGAGTCCTTATGACTGTACGACTACAGTCATACTATCTACATTTTTCAAATGAGGAAACTGAGTCAAAGTGACTTACTCAGGTCACACAGTTCCTCCATGGCAGAGCCAGAATTTGCCAGTCAAGCATGATTTAGGGGAGTGATGAAGACAAGAGCAAGCAGTTTGAAGGCTGTGGGAAGTACAGAGAGAGGAGGAGATGGGAGTTCAAGGTTCTAGATAAGGTCACTTTGCAGATAAAGGGCTCTGAGAGTGATGGACAGGCATCAGGGAAGACAGAGAGGACACTGGTTAAGTCATGGGTCTGCATAAGGAAATATGAAACATTTATTCTGAAATTGTTCACTCTCACCTTTTCACTATCAGAGGCCATTTTTAATATTCCTCCTCTCTCAAGGACCCAGGCTTTCAGAGATTTTGATGATTAACCTTAGCTTTTAATTAAAGTATAAATTACATACAATGTAGTGTCCAGATCTTAGGTATAATGTTTAGTGAGTTTTGATTATCAACTTTAATGTATTAATTCACTTCCTACTTTTATTACCCAACAAAATGACATTGCCACATCAAATTATACAATCTAGCTAGAAGTAAGAATGAGTAACATTGCAGTTAACCCACTAGGCTGAGGCCTTTTGAAATACAAATTCAAATTAGCCAATAGATACTTATCATTAACCATGTAAGAATGCCAATGTCCCTACTCAGTGGGCAGAGACAGGAGGATTGTGGTTTGAGACCAGCCCAGGCAAAAATTAAGCAAGACCCTGTCTCAAAAGCAAGCCAGATGTGGTAGCACATGCCTGAAATCCCAGCTACTAGGGAGATGGAGATAAGATTGGGTCTAAGGCCAGCCTGGCTAAAACATGAGACCCTATCTGAAAAACAGACTAAAAGCAAAAGGACTGAGGATGTGGCTGAAATGGAAGGGTGGCCAGGAAGAGTAGGACCATTGCTGGCCTTCGGCTTAACATTCTCTATCTCTTTTTTTTCAATTGTATGTATTTAAGGTATAAGGCATGATATAGAGTAAAATGGTTACTACAGTCAAGCAAATTAACATAACCATCATCTCATATGCTATTTTTCTTTCTTTTTATTTATTTACTTTTGTTTTGTTTTGTTTTTGAGTCAGGGTGTTAGTTTGTAACCCAGGCTGACCTCAAACATGTGATCCTCCTGCCTCAGCCTTCTGAGTGATGGGATTACAGATATGTACCACCATACCCAGCCTCCTTCCTTTGTTTCTTGTTTCTTCCTTTCTTTTGTGGAAAAAGTCTTAAATATGATACAATATTATGAATTAGAGTCCCCATTTTCACACTACAAGTCTAGCCTTGTTCATCCTACATGTCTGCAATTTTATTTCCTTTGACCTACCTTTCCCCTACCTGGAACAACTTTATGTCTGTGTATTCAACTTTATTTGGAAGATTCCACATGTAAATAAGATCATGAAGTATTTTTCTTTCTGTCCCTGGCTCCATTTTGTGACAAATGCAGGATCTCCTTTTCAGGCTGGATAATGTTACAGTGTGTGTGTGTGTGTGTGTGTGTGTGTGTGTGTGTGTGTGTGTGTGTGTGTATCAGTTTATGCACTCATCCATCAATGGATACGTTGGTTGTTGGTTATTTCCATGTCTTGGCTCTTGTGAATAACGCTGCACTGAACATGGGAGTGCAGATATCTTTAAGATACCCTTTGGGTATGTGCCCAGAAGAGGGATTAGGATTCTTGGGCCACATGCTAGTTCTAGTTTAAATCTCTTTAGGAACCTCAACTTATGTTTCTACCTACAATATGCACGGGTTCCCTTTTCTCCACATACTCACCAACACTTGTTATCTCTTGAGGTTCTTGATAGCCATCTTAACAGGTGTGAGGTGATAGAGCATTGTGGTTTTTCTTTGCATTTCCATGGTTATTAGTGATGTTGAGCACCTTCTCATATTTTTTTGGCCATTTGTATGTCTCCTTTGGAGAAATGTGTGTTAACACCATCTCAAAACCACTGACCTAGCCATCAGAGTTGATTCTCAGGTGTTGAACTGGGAGACATAGGAGCTTATTAGTTCTTCATAATAAAAAAAGTCAATAATGATTCATAAAAGATTTTAAAATTAAGTTTATGTGACAGGGTATGTAATGATATTAAGGAATTGTTATTTTTCAGATTTGATGATGTGCTAATATTGTTTAAATATTAAGTCTTTTCTTTTAAAGTCACGTATTGAAAAATTTCAGGGGATGGTGGTTGAGGTGAACTAGAATAAGACTGTCCTAAATTGATCATTGTTGAAGTTAGGAAATGGGAGTTATTTAAAATTTCCCATGGCAATTTTAAAAGAGGGGTTGAGGTATAGCTCAGTGGTCAAGTGTGTGCTTTTAACACGTTTGAAACCCAGTGTTCAGTCCCTAGCACCCTCCCCAAAAAATTAAAAGTGGGGAATGAATTAAGTTAAGAATATTAGTCAGGATTTACTTGCATCTAATCAAGGTCTTCTATCTATGTTAAGCAAAGGAGATTTAATACAGAGAATTAAGAGCCTGTATATTTGCTAAAACTGCTGGCAGAATGGACTCTAGGCTGGTTCTCCAGGAACAATTACAGCACCATTCAACAGGCTTGCTGAGATGAACCATTTCCTGTGCCTCCATCAGGAAGTCAGGAAACTAGAAAGCCATTGTCTCTACTGCATGCTCCAGGAACACATCCCTTGAGCCAAATCTGATGACCAGGAATCACAGCACAAGTGGCTTCAGTGCCACCTGCTACACCTGCTGCAGTTGGAACAGCAAAGCCATGTCTCACTCCCACCCCCATCACTCTCTGGTGAAATCTAATCACATCTAGAACCCTAGATGCAAGGGAGTGTGGAAGTATAGTTTACAACTCTCTATTCTTCACAGAACTGAAAGAGGAAGAAGTGTGAAAAAATGTTGAGCCAGCCGATCTATCACACAGTATTAGCAATTAGTATATTATTACTGTTCCCAGCCCAAATAATGTCTTCCCCATCCCCCAATCTAATTTACCTATCTTTAGACACAATTTAGGTCTATTTTTTTGGAAAACCTTCCTGGTTTTGCCAAGCCCTTTGTATTTCTCCTCTTTTTCTACCTTCTTTCCTTTTTCCTTCCTCACACATGCATACATGTATATGATATATATGTGTGTGTGTGTGTGTGTGTGTGTGTGTGTGTGTGTGTGTGTGTGTGTGTGTGTGTGTCTCTGAAATCTGTCTGGATTTAGTCATTGTTTTGCCATGTTCTTTGATCTATGTCATGCAAAATGTTTTCTGGCATACTGTCATTTTACATGGGATGGCCTTGCCTGCTTAAACGGGTTCTAACTGACTGAAGGCCGAGCAATTCTGTCCCCTCCTTTGGCACATAACATCATGAGAATGAAGAGAAGTTTATGTATTTGACATTGGTACTGTTGTAAAATGTACGAAGATAACAATGCTTGCCTTAATTATCTTCCAAGACTGTGGTAAGGATCAGAGTGTTGTGTGCTGAGTAAACTATAATTTGTAACCTCATATAAATGTTGAGAGATAATAATTGTGGTTAGGTTAACATCAAGATCTTCACAGGATGACCCCAGTCTTCCTTCTAATTAATTGCATAATCTGATGATTGCTTATCTTTCAGTGAAACTAATACTTTGTTTCTTCAACTCAACCTGTACTTCCTGCCTCTGTGGGTTGATCATGTGCCTCTTCCACTGGGAAGTCTCAGCTCCTCTGTCAGTCTCCTTGCCAGCAAGCAGCCTGAGTGGCCAGCAGTAATGGTTGGATGGTCATTTCTGGCACAGTCAAGCAGTTAATTAAGCATTAGCAGTAATAATACAGACCTGTGTTTACTGACAGAACTCAGGATAGAAAATGATGTCATAATGGAAAAAATTTTTAAGAATTCAATGTTTGACATGATTTCCATGTTTGTAAATGTATACATATTTTTAGTCATATTCATTCTTTCATTTAACAGGTATTTACTGAGTGTCTACTGTGTGCCAGACACCAGATCTATGTGCATAGGAAAACCCTGGAAGGTCACAGCACAGTGGTTGTCTTTGCTTGCTGAGATAACAGGTGCTTTTCTTAATTTTTACTTGTTTTATATTTCTGTTGGTGACCCCTCAGAAATTTAAACCACAATTATCCATGTGGGAGAAAATGTGAATTCTGCTAGTCTTTCATTTCCGATGAGGAAATAAAGTAGCAGGTGGATTAGCCAAAATCCCCAAGTATGAGTTTTTAATTCCCTAATTCCCCAACATGGAGTGGTTTTATTGAAGAGATTGATTTAATCTCTTGCAGTTGATGGATAAATTTCAAAACAAAATTTGTCCTTTGCCTCAGTGACCACCAGGTTAGTAGTTGATCCCTGGTGATGCCATTAATGGAGATTTGTATTTTTATGAAACTGGGATTGCTGTATCAGAGGGGCTTTGTCTCTGTGCAGTCTGAACCCGGCTCGGTGTGTGCCCTGGGATCTGACTCATTAAAATAACTGGATCACTTTCATTTTAAACACACTATTTGTAAAACAACGTCTGTATTGCCCACAACTACCATGTTATGTGAACATATAGATTATAGGACATGACTCACTTTACAGTTAAAAGTGGAGGGAAACTTATGAAATGCCTAACAGTTAGAGATAAACTTCTATAATGCGACATGAAATGATTACTTTAATGCATCTAATAGCAAAATGGAAAAGTTGTATTTCTTTACTTCTAATAGTTCATTTTTCATCCGTGAATTTTTCATATGCTTAATAATTTCATTTTGCTGTATTTTAGGGGTCTCAACCATATATATTTGCTGCTGTCTGCTTCTAAACACACTCAGAACAAGAGGAACTTTGGACTAATTTTTTGACTACCGATACCTTCTAAACATGATGCACTTTAAGAGTGGACTCGAATTAACGGAGTTGCAAAACATGACGGTGCCGGAGGATGATAACATTAGCAATGATTCCAATGATTTCACTGAAGTAGAAAATGGCCAAATAAATAGGTGAGTATTTTTCCACTAACACAGTTTATCCAATGAAAGAAATGGCTCTAAAGAATTATTCTGGTTTTCAGCTATTCTCTTGAATTATTCATTACTAAAGTTATGCTCTGTTTGAGGATGCAATTTGAATTTCTTATGTGACATCTGTTGGGCATAGTCTGCAATAGCAGATGAACCAAATAAGGAAGTAATTTATTCATCTTTTCAAATCTTTCAATTGAGTCTAATAAAAATGTATAAATACATTGGACCCCAACCAGCCCAAACTTCTCAAAAACTCGGTGCTTATGAATTAAACAGACTGTTGGAATCTCACTGCATCCATTTCTGAATTTGTAGTATAGTCTTTAGTACACGTTTTTATCCAGAAATGATAGAAATTGCATTTGCATGGTATTCTTATACACATGCTCAAACTTCAAGTACATCATTGTTATAAGTATCATTTGTAGTGTGGATTTTAAGAAATGGAAATAGTTGGATCCAGATGGCTCTCTGAGCAACCGTAGTGGAGAAATAGTACATGAATGAGAAAGAAAAGGAATGAGAGGAGAAAGTAGAGAGGCAGAGTGGGAAGAGGGCTGGCCTAGAACCTCAGCCACTAGATGTGACCTTGGACCAGTCCTTCCAACTCTTGGGTCTGCATTTCTGAAGTTATAAGAGTAAAACCAAATGTATTCTTTTTAAATGATTTGGGGGCATTATCTGACTTAGTGACTTTTTAACTGACTTTTGTGAATCTTTATCAGGAAGCCCTTCAACTTGAGAGTTAGTGGCTCAAACTCCTAAAAGGCTAGGAGAAGAGAAGAGAATGGAGCCTGCAATACTCTTTACTAGAAAGTCAGTAAAGCCATGCTTAGGTAGGGTCAACAGGAAATCAGGATGGGAGAGGATAAGACCATTATGTCACCTAATCAGACATCTTCATAGACAGCATTTCTGACAGTTGGCGCTACATTCTGCTAGAGTGTGCAATTGAAACCCAGCAAAGGATTCAGCTATCATCCGTATGTTCCTTCCTAACCCCAACTCAGACACTTCTTATCATCATCATCCAAGTATTGTTTACTATGCTAGGGGATATTTCCTATTCTTGGACTCAAGTTTGCTTCTTCCACCTTTTTTGAGTAAGAATATAACTCCCATTTCTTAAGTAACCAAGTGTTTTACATACATCTCCTCATATCCTTATAAGCATCACGCAAACCAGGTGGTCTTCTGCAAATGAGAAAATTTTGAAATTTCATTTACAAATAAGAAAGCTGAGGCTCAGAGAAATAAAATAACTTGCCCATGGTAGGCCTTTCTAGATCTGTGTGTTCTACTCTGCCCTTCTGACTCTAATTATATTGCTTGGGTGTTGGTTGAAAAGCTGGGCTCTCATAGTTCCTTGCCATATTGTGCGCTGTGCTTCTGGAGGGCTGTGTAGTCACCACTGACCTTCACGTAGCAGTGACAACTAGGACACTTTGTTTTTATACAGAGCTTCATTCCCAAAACAATACAAACTTGAGAGCCTTTAGGTGAGTCATTTATAACATCCAGCTTAGAATCTGCACTGGAGTTTTTAAAGTTTTACTTGCTAAGACTGTTACATTTTTGAGGTGATTACCACTTGTAGTAGGTGGAAGGAACACTCATCCTCACCCAGACTCGGATCCGCAGCCCAGATGAGCTCACTTCCCCACAGACTATGACTAGGCCATGAGCTGGTAGGGAGGGAAGCTCTTGGCTGTTGACTACTTGTTTTGTGGAATGTACTTCCACTCTTTCAAATGCAGTGTGATGTGTTTCTTTTTTGCCTTATTTTACTTCTCCTCATTCACTGACATAGTTCACAAATCTTGCTTAAATTCTGGCTCTAAGCCAATTAAACACAATTTATGATGGCATGAGGCTAGTAAAAGTAAAGAAACATCAAAGAGACCCTTGCCAATTTTGTTGGAGCCCCTATTGGGTGACCTGGTTTACTGTGTTGGCATGTTTTAGTAGTCCTTGGATCCAGCAGAAGCTGCACCTACATATCACTCTTCTCATATTTGTGGAGGAAAGTAGATCCAATTGTATGACTCTAAGACAACCACCCTTCCCAAAACAGTGAACTTCTAGGTATCAGTGCTGCTTTTTAGAGAAAATGTTGAAATCAATATTAATCTCATGCAGTTAAGAGCTTTGCCTGGAAAATCCCCACCAAGATACACAAAAAAAATCTTTTTAAAATTTAATTTTTTTTTTTTGTGGGACTGGAGTTTGAACTCAGGCCTTTGTGCTTGCAAAGCAGGCACTCCACTGATTGAGTCACACCTCATTTTGTTCTGGTCATTTTGGAGCTAGAGTCTCAAAGACTATTTTCCCAGTCTGACCTTGCACTGTGATCCTCCTAGTTTCAGCCTCCCAAGTAGCTAGGATTACAGGCATGAGCCAGTGGTGCCTGGTCAAGGGTAATTTTTTAAGCTTAGTTAAACCTAGAGAAGAATCATTTGGGTATTAAGATTGCCATTCCACTTCAGTTGTTTTATTTTAAGTTTTGTGTGATAGATATAGAAATCTGTATGTATACCTGGAATGGCAAACCTTTCAAAATGTCCACTAGATCAGTGTTGCAGACATTTTGATATGCATATGCAACGTTTGGAATTCCATCTTATTAAAACGCAGATTTTGATTCAGTAAGCCTTGGGTGGGGCCTGAGCTTGTGACTTCTAGCGAGCTCCCAGGTGATGTCCATACTGCTGGTGTGTGGCTCACACTTTGAGTAGCAAGCGCTAGACTCTTCCTTTAGATGTGAGCCTTTTGAGAGAGGGGGCCATTTTAATCTTTATTTTTATATTCCTTGTACTCATCATAGTACCTGGGACAGGGTGGACATTCCAAATTATTTGTTGAATAAGAGAAAGAGAGAGAGGGTGAGAGCGAGAAAGAAAGCTAAACTACATGCCTTTGCATTTAGACTTGTATGAAATGCTGGCTCTGTCCTAGATCTTATGTGATCTTGTACTCAGAGCTGGGTCCCAGGGATTAAAGGGATTGTTAAGGAATGTGTATTGTAATACTCTTTGTAGGTTAAGAACTCAGGCTCTGCAGTCAGCCAGCCAGCTCAGGTTTGAATCCTGGCACAACAGTTTAGTTACTGGCATTATAACTTTGGTCAAGTTTAATTTGTCTGCAGTAGTGCTAAAATAGTATCAATCACATGTAATTATTATGAAAATAGATGAGAAAATTCTTGTAAAGTACTTGGCACTGTGTCTGGCAACAGTAAGCCTCTTACAATGAGAAGAGTTGGTATCAATAGAACCGCACCCCTCTTTCTTGGCCAGTACACCTTTCTACTCCACCCCAAGGAGCAAAAAATAATGCTTTTGGCTTTGGATGATTGCTGGTTATTGCTATCTTAAATATGGTGAAATATCTGTAGATTATCCTAAATGTATCCCGAAATATCTTTGTATAGTCTCATAATTATCTGCTGTCATTCTCATTCCTATGTATAATTATTGTTGTGAGCCAGGAACCTAATGACAGTTGAGTCTTTCAGTAAGACTTGTTCTAAAAGAACTTGGGGCAATTCTTGTCCTTGTGCCCTGATGCAACTCTTTTTTTTTTTTTGTCCACATATATATGTGTGTGTGTGTGTGTGTGTGTGTGTGTCTTTCAGAGTTCATGTACTAAATATTTATCACTTGAGAGGACCTTTGAAACTATTCTTAGTTTTCTTCTATTTTCTTTACTTTGGGGAAGATGATTCCCTAACTTCTTCCTATACTCAATTATTATGTCAGAAAATTCTTCCCCTACTTCTTTCAATCCCATTACAAAATTCTCTTTTTCTCTATATACAGTAGAGTTTATCCATTAAATAAGGCTCGCTTACCTCTTGACCTTTTTGTTACTTCTTTCTTTTCATATGTTTTCTGATATCTTTTTTTATATGCTTGTTCCCCACACCCCCCTTTTTTTTTTTGAGAATGTCAGAAGGACTAGAAAAAGTCATTCAAATTCAACTACTCATGGCTTTTTCATCTCTTGTGTTATGAATCCTCAAATAAACTGTGGAATCTAGTAAGAAGCTAATTGGTAGAGATAAAAATAGGCAGGTTATCTTTCTATTGTGTTCCACGTCCTGAATTGATTGTAGTTATACATTTATTTTTAGTTTTAAATAATAGCTTTCTATTACTTGCTTCTCTTCACACTGCATCTTAATATAAAGCCTATGTCCTTGTTAAGGTTTTGTCTGTTTGAGATCACCAAATCACCCATTGTAAGGTTTTGTTTTGTTCTGTGTTATTCACAGGGCAATTGGTTACCTGATGGTTGATCAGTTTTGCTCTAAGGTTACAGTCTGACCCAGTGAAAACTTTTTAAATAATACTTTCATCATCTTGAGACCACATGTTAAAAACACCTTCTCCCCATAGCATATTTTAAGTAAATAAAAGGAAATTTTAAGTCAGTTTTATTGCCAGAGGTCAGTGCTTTTTAACAAGCAATTGTGTCTTTAAAATGGTGAGAAAACAGAAACTTGTGATAAAGCTGCTTGTCCTAGTTATTTTGAATGGAATTTTCCATTGCAAAAAAAAAAAGTGGATTTCATCTATTTTTTTAAGTTTACAGCAATAAAAAGCAAAGATTTACAGAAGAAAAATGTTGAAGCAATGAAGAGCTTAAAGAAGCTTTCTTTAAACACTCCATTCTTTTTTCCAGTAGTGGAACCAGTAGTGGAACCCAGGGCCTCACAGGCACTCTATCACTTGAGCTGCACCTCCATTCTCAATTAGTTTCCCTGTAGCTGATGCTACTCCCTAGTTCCTAAATAGAAGAGGCCTGCTCAGTTTAGGCAGGGCTCCTCTGAATTGCTAATGTTGGGAAGGTTTATTCTAGAAAGAACCTTCACAACCCCACAACCACGTTGGGTCCAAGATGAGTTCTCCAGCATTGTGTGTGCTACAGATAAGGTAGGAAGGTCGTTGGAGCCAGAAGACTCAGTTCAAACCAGAGTATAAGAAGATTTGTGGTAGGTGAGGGTTTTGAGCTGGCAGCATGGGATTGGTAGAGAAGAAGACAAGGGTCTCAGGGGAGAGTGGATTCCCACTCCTGCCTGGCTTGGGTTCTTTTCTCAGAATGCCCTGGTCTTGTCTTAGCCTTTACCTCCTCCTAGGAAAATCTTTTTGAACTGTAGGAGAAGCTAAGATTGGAACCCTGAGGCAAAACGAAATAGACAGGCACCTGGAATTGCAGGGTGAGGAGTTTATATGCTTGAAATTTAGTGCGAGAAACCAGTGGAGATTTGGGGAGAAATCTATTAAATCTTGCTGCAGAGAGTGGACCAAAAAAGTCAGAATCAGGAGGTACTTGGTAATGTTTTAATGTACTTTTTAATGGTTACGATTAGAACAGTGCTGTATGTTGTATCATTATTCTCATTCTGCAGTTTTGCAGAAAATAGCTGGCAATCCGGCAGGGACTTTAGTCTTTGTCCTCTTTAACTGCAGTGTTTGACCCTGCTGGATATCCCCTCATGTCACAGTGCCCACTTCCCTTTCTTCTCTGCCTGCAAGTCCTCTGCCACCAACTCTGGCGAGTATTGCCAGGCCTGGAACTGAGAGTCGTCTCAACAGGCAGTTTTATCAGTGTCTTGTTTGGTTTATTTGCAAAAATGCTCAGGCTTTTCTCTTTAATTTAAAAATAATGGAAATTCTCTTTGGAAAACAAGTTTCCTCCACAAGAAAAACAAATGGGGGACTTGTTGGATAAAGATTCAGTAGGCTTGGGTTGGTTATTAAAATTAGCCTGAGTAAATTCAGTCTTCAATAAACAGCAACACTTGAATATGAGTCAATTTCATTTTGGAAAAGCCAGTACCTATGTTTCCTTAGGCTGCTCTCTTCCCTGCTGTTCTGCAGTCATATCTGTAAGCCTCAGTTCTGTGGAAAGACTTAGTGTTGGGGACAAATCAATCGTTAGCAGTGACCCCGTAAAACTGCCTGGGTTGGTCTCAAAGCATCTGGCATCATGCTGTCAATCTCTTGCTGAGAATAAATTTCCTATGCTGATCCCACCTAGTACAGGTTTTTTTCCTTTTCTGGATTCCTTATCTCATCTTCATGTTGTACAACCCACATTCCTGTGCTGCTGTGAGCTGCTGTGTTCTTTTCTCTGCTGGAGTGTGAGCTCTTGCATTTGGAGAGACCAAGATTTTCTTCCCTCCATCCTTTTGTTCCCTGACGGAGAGTGGCAGGTCCTAGGCAAAGGCAAGGTCTGCAGACTGCAGGTTATAACAAGCGATGGTCTTAGTAAGTGTGGAGTGTATAAAGTACTGCTCTTTGGCAAAAGAACACAAACTTGTTATAATGTAATGTTAGGAAAACCCAGGTCCCTTGGATTAAGGATGAAAAGCATAGATAAATAATTCCAATGAAGCGTATGGTTCATTTAAAAGATGCTTTGTTGTGAAATATGCAGCATTCCAAGAAGCATATGAAAATATAATGCACAGTTTAAAGATACATGCTTCTTTAAAACAGTCCAGTTCAAGTGGTTTTAAATTTCTTAATGACAAATTCACTGTTTAGTTCTAGCTATGAACAGATGATTACGTTTCCAGATTTAGAAGGGCCAAAAAAAATCCCTAACATTTCTTGAGACTATATGTAGAATTTTGCCTATGCATGGACTTTTCTATGCATTTTTAATGGCAAATTTTTATAAATGAGTAATTTAGGTCACTTGGTATTAACCCTGAATACATGTGATGGGTCTTAGAGTACTTTGAATTCTCATTTCTGTATATTTGTATCCTTTACTCAGCCTGTCTGATCTTTGTCATCCCAGTTCAAGTCCCCTCCCCCCATGGAGAGGAATGATTTACATTTGTCGTCCTTACAGATGTTTTACACGTGCTCTCTGTTCAGTTCTCCCAAGAATGCCATGAGCCAGTGGAACAGCATCACTCCCATTTCACAGATGAGGAAACTAAGGTAGCATGCCAGGCCCTCCCACCTAGTGAGGATTTTAACTCAAGTTCTGAGTCCCGTATCTTCTCTTGAAGCCCTGGCTTTGACCCAGCCATGGGCTATATGCTCTTCCTTTCCTCACCATAATTTCCCTGTTCCAACTTCTTAGCTCAGTGTCTGCATCCCTTATTACATAGCCCTATGTGTCCCTTACCGCCTGCTCCCATGATTTGCATATAGCAGGTGCTGAAGGAATGTTTGATAGTGACACAGTTGTTTCCTTTTTTTCTTTTTTTTTTGGTACTACTGGGGTTTGAACTCAGGGCCTCACAATTGCTAGGCAGGCCCTCTACCACTTGCATCGCTCCACCCACCCTGTTTTGTATTGGGTACTTTCAAGATAGGGTCTTGCAAACAGTTTTCCTGGGCTGGCTTTGAACTACGATCCTCCTGATCTCTGCCTCCTGAGTAGCTAGGATTATAGCAGTGAGCCACTGAGCCCAGCTTGTTTTCTTTTCTCATTTCTTTTTTTTTGCAAGAGGGAAGGGATTCCCACTTAGTCACTTTATACACCAAGAATGTGAGCTCAGAAGGTCTCTTGCCTACAGTATTCTTTAAAAATACAGGGCCCTGAGTTCAAACCCCAGTACTGACAATAAATAAATTAATTAACTTATATCATATAAGGTGTTTTAGTTTATCTTGAAAATGATTCAAAATGTATAGCTCTTTTTGACTTATGGTAATCTTTCATCTCATTCAAGAGAAGCAACTATGGCATTTTCTAGACCTCACCCTTAGTAGAGTGAGGGATATGAAAATGAATGAGACAAAGTTCCTTCCTTGGACCACTTAGAGTTTATTTAGTAACAGAAGAAAACTGATAACTAATACACACACACACACACACACACACACACTCACACACACACACATTGGGGAAGGTGTTGAATAGAGCCTAAGAGTAAATTCTTCGGCAAGCAATTGATAACTTTTCATATGCAATGTATTTTGGTAAGTAGTAAATTATTTAGTCTTGATGTTAAGCTTCGAATCATTATCATAAGGTTAAATGTATTATGCATGTCTTTACAGCAAGTTTATTTCTGATCGTGAAAGTAGAAGAAGTCTCACAAACAGCCATTTGGAAAAAAAGAAATGTGATGAATATGTAAGTGTCGTTATAATAAAGTGTGCTTATTATTTTAATCACATAAATTGGGACAGATGTTTTTAATTCATGTGGCATAGTACCAAAAACATAACTATCTATGTTTGTCAGGATATACTCCATATTCTACATACTTTCTCCTGAAACCTGTTTTTTTAAAAAAAAAAAAAAAATAACTAGAGCAGTAAGAAAGGATTTCTTGAATTTTATTTTCATGTTGGTTTCTAGTCTTGTCTTTAAAGGCTTTGGCTTGGTGAATTTTCTTGGAGACGATTTGGCTTTGTGTAAATGTTTATTTCTTTGTTTAGATTCCAGGAACAACCTCCTTAGGCATGTCTGTTTTTAACCTGAGCAACGCCATCATGGGCAGTGGGATTTTGGGACTTGCCTTTGCCCTGGCCAACACTGGCATCCTCCTTTTTCTGTGAGTGTTGACATGTTCATACTTTCCATTTTTAATATTTTCTGTACCTTGTTATTACATGGGAGACATTTGGAACTATTTCTAAGGAATTTTTATGTATTTGTTTGGCTGAGTAACCAGTACATACTTTTCTATTTATTGTTTGAATGACTTTCTAAAATACAAATATTGCTTAGAAGAAAAAGGAAGAAAATCTTTTTAATTAATCAAAAATATTGAAATAACCATTTGTAAAAAGGGTTAAAACACTTGAAAATAGCATTAAAAAAATCTTTTGGACTCTGTCACTGTAAATCTCAGCTCATAGGTCAAAATATTAAGTCAGCCACCACTTTGGTGTTTGGATTTCTATGGTACATGTACTGTATCCAAAGGTAATTATAAATGTGTCTGTAATAAATGTTCAAGAAGCAGATAAATTTTCATAGTTTCATATTTTTAGAGACAAGAAATTTGCACACACCTTTCCTCTGAAATTCAGTGAAAAGAAAATGGTTGATTTTTAAATAAGTTCATCTCCAACTGCTGAGTGGGACTTTCCACAAGTATTTCCAGTTATAACATGATGAAGATGGATTATAGAATTTATAGCAGGAAAATCCTTACCCAGCCTGACCCCAACCACAGCTCCCAGGAGTGAAGTGTCAAGTGCTCTGCCGAGCAAGGTGGGGAGGACAACATGTCCTCCTCCCGGGACCTCCCTCTTCTCCCTGACTCCTGCACCTGCTCTTCGCTGACCTTGCCTCCTCATCTGGCTGTTTCAATGGCAGCATCATTTTCTTGGAAACAATGACTGAAGTGGTACTAATCCTCACAGATTTTGTGTGTGTGTATCAAGTATATATATACATACATACAAGCAGGTTTAAGAGTAAATGACATAATTGTATAGCATATTTCTATGGTGATTGGTTTTTTGTACGTGTGAAACTCTCTCAGATTGCTGCTGACATCACTCGGATAGCTACACTTCTGATTTTTAGTGCACTGACATGAGGGGTCTGAGCACTACTCCCAATCCCTCTTCTAAGTGGCTATGTTGTCTTAAGCAAGTTACTAAACCACCCTGAGTTTCAGTTTCCTCCTCTTTAAGACAAGGAAATTGCACCAGGAAAATCTTAGAACCCTATCAACCTCCAAAACCCCAAGATTCTGTGACTTTTTTCAATCATTCCAGATTTCCTTCCTTTCTTCTTCCCTTTTTCCCCAACCCTTCCTTCCTCTCTCCCTCCTTCATCCCCTTCCTCTCTTTTTCCCTCCTCCCTCTCTCCCAGTTGCATAGGGTTTTGAACCCAGGACTTGCCAGGCAAGTGCTCTACCGCTGAGCCACACCCTCAGTGCCTCTTTTCTTTCTTCTTAAAATTACCATAATCTATTTAAAGTTCTGGTGTGATGTTGTGTTAAAACATCAGTTCCTTGATGGAAGCAACTCTTGTAATTCTTCCTCTATATCAGTTACTTTACCTGTTGGAACCTAAATCCTTCCAATAAGTCTAGGCAGTCGGTTCTGTTGTGACATCCCTGTTTGACAGATAAGAGAACTGAGGCATGGAGAGAAACGTGCATTTAGGGACCTCTGTTTGTCACCTCTTTGGAGATTTCCTTCACTTATCTTCGCTGCTAGACTCTGGGTTTCTTATATTCCATTTCTTCCTCTTTCTGGATTTACTTCCTTGCTGTTATTGCAGAGAAAAGGTGATGGAAATAGGGTTTATGAGACTTTCATGTCTCAAAAGATGTATTCTAGCTTCATCTTTGATTGGCAGTTAGCTAGATACAAAACTATATTGACAAAGATTTTCCTTCAGAATTGTGAAGGTATTGCTCCATCGCCTTCTAGCATTTTCTGTTGTGAGGTCCCATATGCTTTTTGAGACAGGGTCTCACTATGTAGTGCAAGCTGGCCTCAAACTCATGATCCTCTTGCCTCTGCCTTCCAAGTGCTAGAATTACAGGCATGCATTCCTATGCCTGGTTTCCCATGTACCTCTAATCCCCAAACTGTAGCCTAGTTTAGGGTTTTATTTTTCCTGAAAACTTCCTAAGTCTCTTTGTTCCCAATTTTTTCCAGTTCCACAGTGATGTGTCTTCTTATGAGCCTGTTTTCACCAATAGTGTCAGGCAGTTGGTGTCTCTTTTACTGTTAGAAAGCTATGGTCTTCAGTTTGGGAAATTTTTCTAACATCATGTTGGTGTAAGTCTTCCTCTTTTCTCCCTTCTCCCTCTTTCTGGAACTGTTGCCCAGTTTTGAACCTCTAGGACCTTTATTTTTTAAGCCTTTTCTTTATTTTCATTTTTAAAAATGAAAATAAAGAAAACTTTTTTCCCAACTCTTTTTTGGATATTTTATTTATGATTATTTTTTATTTATAGAACCTTTCTAAAATACTTTGAATGTTTTTTTTTAAATATTATTTGGAGCCAGGCACTGGTGGCTCATGCCTGTAATCCTAGTTACTCAGAAGGCAGAGATCAGGAGGATTGAGGTTTGAAGCCAGCCTGGACAAATAGTTCACAAGACTTTATCTTGAAAAAGCCATTTGCAAAAAAAAAAAAAAGGACTGGTGGAGTGGCTGAGTTCTATCTTACGATTTCAATGTCTTCTCTGAAGATTCTGATGGTAGTTTTTCTCCAACAGGGAAAATTTCAAGCATACAGCAGATAGCATAGTGTAAAAGATTTAGGGTTCTCTCCATCCCATGGCTATGCTTATTTAATCAACTCCACAGCCAGATGGTCTTGACATAAATCCAAACTGCCGTACCATTTCATCCACAAATATTTCAACATATATCTTTAAAGTATGACGACTCTTAAAACATGACCATATGTCATACTTTAAACAGCAACAGTTTCTTAATACCAAATATCCAATTAATATTTAAATTACTCTGATTAGCTCATATTTAAAAAAAAAAAGTTGGATTGTTCAAATCAATACCCAAATAAGGTTCGACCAGAGCAATTGGCTCATATTTGACTTGAATCTCTTTTAATCTCTAAGAGTTACCCCATTTCTCTCCTTTTTCCTTTTTCCCATCATGTTGAAGAAGCTGGACCATTTGTCTAGAGATTTTCCTGCAATCTGGATTCTGCTGAGTGATCCCTGTAATACAAAATGATTTTTGTTCCTGTGTTTTAGGATGTCTTTCATTCAGACTCTTTTCTTAGAGCTTGGGTGGGGCTTCCTTATCTATATTCAAGAATGGGGAAAGACAAAACCAAGTTGAGCCTGGCATGCATGCATAGGGCTCATGGGTAAGAGCTTCACTTGAGGTGCTCTCAATAACACTTTACTTGAGGAATTTCTAGGATGCTCATCTTTGGGCTGTTCAGATCTTCTGATTCCTGCCCACAGTATCTAGGCCTGGCTGCCATTTTTCTGGGGAAGAGGTGGTAGAGGAGCATTCCAGCATGCATATCCAGTTTTCATACAGTACCACTTATCCCAGATTGTGCCCAACCCTTCACTTAGACACCTGTTTTGTTTTGCTTGGTTTTGGTGCTTTGAGACAAAGTCTCACTGTATAGGCCAGGCTGGCCTTGAACCTGCCATCCTCCTGCCTTAGTGTCTGAAGAGCTGGAGTTACAAGCCTGCAGAGACTCACCCAGATCAGGGACCTGTGTTTTATACTGTCCAGTATATTCAGACTTTTGCCAGATGAGAGAGGAGTGACCACTCAGCATTATGGAGTAGAAATGTGACCCTCTCTTCCAATAATGTCACCAGTGCCTTTTGGGGTTCTGTCGTGTGGATTGGGTTGACCTTATCTTTCTTAGCTGTCAGTTCAGGATTCAGTTCTGAGTACGTTTGAGCTTCCAGAACTGGACTACTGTTTTGTCTTCTTGTATCCTTACTGTCCTGGGAACTTTATACCTTTAACAAAATACAATAAAATCCCTTTACTGGTACATCAGGAGGGAGTAGGACTAAATCCTGATATGCAATCTACTCTTCCTGGAATATACTGGCTCAGGGACAATTGATCTATCTCATGACTCTAGCTTCTAAACGAAGCAAAAGAATCAGATAAATTTGGCTTCTATAGTTGAAGGAAGATTTCCCCTGGATTAAACTGTTAGAGAGCATTTAGTTATTTGCAAGACATGTGAATAGCAAGCACAGTACACCAAGTTGTCAGGTGAAAGCTCAGGAAGGTAGTTGTATAAGGACTCAAACTTAAAAGTTTCTCACAAAACATTGAACTCTGCCACCTCAGAACAAGGACACACTCTGACTGTTGTAAAACCAGCTGCTCCTACAGCTGCTCAAAGCCAAGCAGCACTTGGCAGGATGAAGGCATTTCATCTGCTCCAGGCCCACTAGCCAACATGGAAAAGAACTCCAAGACTGTCCAGGCTTCTTTAAAAATGCAGCTGGGAAGGCTCCTCAGTGTCGCACTGGGGCTGGGAGGAGCTCCTTACTGGAGTCATCTGGAATTTGAACGGGTGTGATTTCTTTTTCTTGGATGAGTTTGGGGCTCATTTTTTTTTCTTTTATGACCTAGCTATAATGGCTGTGAACCCTGTATAACATAGATTTAATTCAGTTAGGTTCAGTGAGTTTTGTCCTGTTGCAAGAATGCTACTAGATTTTATAATTTCCTAAATTCTGAGGCCTTATAATTCCATCCAAGAAATAGGAAGTGTGTTAGTGGGGCATCTCAATGTACAGTTGTTTTGAGGGTATATATTTCTGCGGGAAACAAAATGGGTAGTACCCTGAGGGAATCCTGAGGGATGGTCTGAGCACAGGTGTCTCAGGGTGAAGGGTATCTATGGAGTTTTCCTAAAAGTGGGAATCCAAAGAAAAAGCAAAGATGTTGAAGAAACCTCTTTCCATTGTAACTTCCTCATTATTGCTAATCTTTTTAGAGCGCATCCCCATTACTTCATCATTCAAAGGTAAGGGTTAACAATGAAAGGTTTTTTACATTTTCTAAAAAATAATCTCTTTAGAATATATCATTTCCTTATACTGCTAGGAAATTGATGTATAG